CACACAGAAACACACACACACCACGTCACTCACTTGCACGCTCAGTCTCCATATATGGTCCATCCGGTAGTAAAGTCCCGTGGGGACGCGCACAGTGGAAAAGCCATGACGCGAACGCGCAACCGCAGCTCCCCCCTCCCTCCCCGGTCCTCTCAGCGTGTACCCGGGCACAGCGGTGATGGCGTCATCTCTGCACCATATATGGAGTTGTCACCGGTGTAAATTAGGTTACTAAGCAGCGGCACGGCTGAGGTCAAACTGCAGGCGGCTGTCAGTCCCGAGCACCGTGATGATGCTTTCAGGTGCTGTTGGAAATCTAATAGCCTATTTGTAGACTGACAGTCAAAGATCGGTGCACATGCATTGCTGTCGGACAATTACGTTTCTTTCAGTAATACGGAATATATTAAACTGAATAAACAATGACCACATTTAAAATCAAAGGGTGAAAATAATAATTGCAATATTGGTTTTGCACATTCTTTCATTTTTGCATATTGGTGCAAACGTACAAACCTAACTTTGATTTATTTGCTATTTGTAGGCCATTGTTCATTCAGTATGGAAATAAACCACATTAAAGGCTAAATTCCCTCTGTTGTCCCTTGCCAGAGGTCAAAAAGGCAAAAGTGACATAATCTGTGAAATTGTGATGCTAAATTTACCTCCTGGGGAATCAAACTTTTTTTAATAGCAGATGAATAGCAAACAAAGTAAGGGAGTATTGTGGAGAAACTATATCACTAATGGAACATATGGAAGTTTGCACCACATCTGTATTTCTTTTTACTTTTGGGCCTAAAAATACCATGACAATAATCCGATAGGAACTGGAGAGAGGAAATTCTAATTTTAATTTTAATAATTCTGAAATATCTGACTTTATAGTAAAAAACAAAAAACAACTTAAAACAGCCAATTTTCATGACTATGCCACACTTCTTCTTTTTACATGCATGACTAACTCCTCCTGTGATACTGTAAACCAGTGCTGGACAACTATTCATTCAGTGTGCAAATTACACTTGTTATCAGAAACACTGGCAGTCACCGCCCTCAGTTGTCCGATGCTGCAAAAACATGCCAGCCGTAACCATGGAAACCTTTCCCATCACTACTTTTCCTTCCCACATGACGTGAACATGGCATCAGAAACACTAACACTATAATGGATACCAAATGTCTTAACAGCAATTAAACCAAGATGTTACAATTCATCTGACTGTGACAGACTACAGTGCTGTTTAAAAATGAGAAAAACAGTTATTGTTGAGAAAAACAGTGACCTACTGCTCAGAAACCTCACTTTCTTACTGTATCTGAAAATGCTTTAACATATAACGTCTTTAAAATCAGATTGCAGATAGAAAGTTTTATCCTTGATTGCATATATAAATACATAAATTCTGCATTGCAATGCATTACAATATCATAAAAATATGTTACATGAAATCCAAGATACTGAATACTTGAAACTTAACTTTAATCAAACATATTTTTGGCTAAAAAGAAAAGCATACAATCTAGCCTGCTACTTGAAAGGTTACAAAGGGGATTTATGCTCAACCCTGTCTGTACTCATCATATTTGGCAAATAAAGGAGAAATTGTGAAATATAAACTGATGCACTCATATACGTTACAAGTTTTAATCAGACTAAAACACAACCCAGTTTGCACTTAAAATGCACGTTAGATGAGTAGCTCTTTAAGCCGAGTGCTTCTTAAGGAAAGACAACAACCAAGCATGACTTCACTTCAGGTCTGTACCCGACTGGTCGCTATGGTGACAATGTTATGTGTGATTATACTCACACCGCCTCTGCCTGAGGCCAACTGGGCGGTGGAGTGTGTGACTGTATGCATGTTCAAGTCTGTGTGTTTGTGTGTGTGTGAGCAGACCAGAGGGTGGGGCCTGCTTTTTCACAGTCCTACAGTATTTCCCTCTATAGTATAAACATTGGTTGGTAGGACTGGGAAATGACTTGTACACAATGAAAGCATGGAAACTGTTGCCACAATTAACATTAGATAATGGTAAAAAGGATCAGCTTCATACACATGGGGGATGTTATAACACTGTTGGTTGGCAGCATGTTAAAGCTTTAATACATTTTAAAGGACCATAACACAAGTGCACAAGTTTAAGCTCCTTAACTACATATCATGTGTTTATTTCTTATCATTTTTTAATGCAGGGTGCACGTTATTTTGGTTTTTGGATGTGTTTTTCCAATAGTTTCAAGTGGCCATTAGGTTAATAATTTCTGTAAAGTTGAAAGTCACTTAACAGATTCTTGAAAGTTGCTTGAGATGTATAATCAATCATAATGAACATGCAGTCTAAGGTATTTGTTTTCAATGTTACATAATTGTTGTGCAGTTTAAAGCGGCTCTAATCAATATTTTTATATTAACAATAGATGAAAAAACTCTGTGAAAGGGGTAGCTGAAAGGAAAGCTACAGATAATTATTAACTGACTCTGAAGCTCTACAAAGTGTTTTAGCGACTTTCAGCTCATTGTTTTGGCTAAAAAACCTGCTGCCATTTGTTTAGAATGGGGGTAGTGTGTTTAGGCTATGGCGATGGAGGCCCCTGGGGAGGCTGAAAAAAAGCACAGCGACCTGGGCAAACCGACATCACACTGCGGTTAGGTGATGATACTGCATGTCAATGATATTACCAGCTTATTGCATTACTCGCAAGCAGCAAAAATATCATTTAATGCAAGTTCAAGGTCAGCATAAAATGAAAAGTCTACACTGCATTGTTCCATTCTGATTAAAAAAAAAACTTTCACTAGAATGCATTACATAACTGAAGCAAGTTTCCAGAGTCTGGTAATAGATACTCACATGAAATGAAAGAAACTGGAAACCAATGGGTGCCCAGATAAAATATCTTTCCTGCCAGTACGATTTCAAAACACAGCTGCTACAAAAAAAAAACTATATATGTACTTGTCTAACTCATGCAAAATCAGTGGATGGACCTTCAACAAACTTGAATGTATGTATAGGTTTAACCTTTTTAAACTGGCCAAATATGCTGACACATACACTGACTATCACTAGCAGTATTTAAGTAGTTTGAATGTTTTGGTGTTTTCAAGGATTCTTCACAGTACTGAAAAGGTTTCAGAGGGCATTAGACTGGTGGTTAAAGTGGCTGGGCCTGTTTAACTGTGCTGCAGATCTATGACGCACAGCTTAATGTTTGTTGTGGTTTTCAGTTGCATCTTGGCATCATTCACTATCAATTAATGTCATGACGTGTATATTCTGCTCTTCCTTCTGCAAAGCAGCTCCAATTAACTTTAGCCATAAACAACAACAAACCAAGTAGTGACTACTTTTAAAACAACCAGTTTTTCATTATTCTCTTGCATGCATTTAGCAGCAGCAACGAGTTGTATTCATAACTTCCAAAAATGAAAGTAGGTCATCCTTACAAGGAGCACTTGAAGGCATCTAAAGGGAATGGGTCAGGATGTCTATTTATAGACTCAGCACTTCTCTGACTATTTCCCCATGCTTGTTGACTCCCAGCCAGTTTCTTTTGTTACGCCAGAGCTACTCGGTTTATTTCAGACGTTGTTTTGTTCCAGCAGAGATTTTCCTGCTACATCGCTGTGCTTTAAAAGGACTCAAACTTTCCACTAAGGCAGATCTGCATCCAGCTGAGCTGGACAGTAGATGAGCAGAAGAGATAAATCAAGTGAAAAATAACTTCTTTTGAGAGAGAAAAAAAACACCTAAATGTTTCCTCTTATCGAGTACTTGTGTAAGGGTTTTTTGTGAGAGTTTTTTCTTATCTGAACTAAAGCTCTGAGAATAGAAGCGGTCATATGCTAGAGAGGTTGTAAAACGCTTTGAGGCTAATTTGAGATTTGGGGTTATATCAATAAAACTGACTTTACATATCATGTCTTGTTTGTAATCATGTTTGCTTTCTTAAGTAATGGATGTAGATAGATAGATAGATAGA